TTGTTGAAATTGATTTTAACAATTTATTGAGAATAATTTATTTTTCTGCATTTCATATTTAAAATTTTTCTATAATTTCTTTTGCATCTAGTTCTTGACAGATTTCATTTTCAATGGCAATCAAAGCTAAATTTATGAGTCTTTCCTGCGATATACTTGAACGTAAATATGTCTTGATCAATTTTAATTTGGAGAATGATCTTTCGCTACTAGCAACACTAACAGGAATGCTAAGTAGTATTCTCAGTACGATCTTCAAGTTCGGGAAGCACAAATTATTTGACACAATTAAGTTCAAAATATCGAATGGGTCATTCATACCGGCTGTAAAAATGTCTTTCGAAGCTACTATTTCGTCATAGATGTTCTTCTGCGTTAATATATCTTATTGTCACCACACCAACAATTTTTCTAATTTATCACATTTTATTTTCAAATTTGCGTTATCGATTTCTGATAAATTACCCAGAAAACTAAAATTATCCCAGTGATTTTTCATTGCATCAAATCTTTCGTTTAATGATGTCCAAGCAGTATCCAAAATTCTAAAAAAGACATTTGCCCTAAACTTCTCTTCTGGAGATTGAGGGGATTCGTCAGCATGTTCGTAATCGAAGTGAAATTTCTTTTCCCTTCTTCGGACTTCTTCAACAGTTTTAAATTGTGGCTCGCCATCCACTTCTTCACTAAGTTCTTTGGCTTTCTCAAGAATACTTTTGTAATTGATATCACTTCTATATTCTTCAATGAATGTTTTTAAGTTACTTATTGCCTTTAAGGCTAGTGTAACACTCAAACCCTTTTCTTGCAATTGTTTGCTGACAGGATTAATTCTGTTAAGCAAATCGTGCCAAACTATCAAGGAACAAATAAATTTATAATCCTTGATTTTGGTACACAGACTTCGTGCTTCATGTTGCACTTCGTTTGAAAAGCATTCATCTTCGGATATTTCAAAGAGAGCATCATAGATTTCTCCTAGTTGATATCTTAAAGGTCGAATAGCTTCAATTTTGCTTTCCCATCGAGTGTTTGAGAGGGGTTTTAAGGTTAAACAGGAAATGTTTTTTTTAAAAGAACTGCCCATCGCTTAGGAGAAGAAGAAAATAAATTGTATAATTCTTGAATTGTCGAAAAAAAAAAAAAAAAAAACTAACTGTATCTGCATTCACTTTTGCTGCATCGTTAATCATTAAATTTAAGCTATGAGCGGCACAAGGAACATAAAACGCACGAGGATTTATTTTTAAGATGTTATTTTGAAGACCATTTTTCTTCCCTTTCATATTTGCGCCGTTGTCATACCCCTGGCCTCTCATATCATCAAGGGGAATGTTCCACATTTTCAACATTTCCATTACTGTCTCACATAGCCCGTTACCTGTAGAATCATCAACTTTAATAAAGCCTAAAAAATGTTCCTTGATTTCTCCCACTCTATCACTGCAGAGGACAAAACGTATGACGGCACTCATCTGTTCAGTTTTGCTAATATCGGGAGTACAATCTAAAATTATAGAATAATACTTGGCTTTTCGAAGAGATAGTAAGATTTTCTCTCTTATACTACTGCCAATAATTTGCAGCATTTCATTTTGACTATCTTTGCTTAGATAATGAACTTTGCTGTTGCTACCTTTAGGTCGTAATACTCTTTCTATGTGAAATTCCATAACAGGGTCGAATTTTGCAAACAATTCCACTAATTTTAAGAAATTTCCGTTGTCTTTTTGGTACAGCACATCAGATGAGCCTCGAAAGGCTAAATTCTGGCTGCCAAGAAATTTTGTGATCTCAATCAGTCTCCCTAAGACATTTGACCAATGTTTTTTTTTTTTTTTTTTTTTTTTTTTTTTTTTTTCATACATCTCTTGTGTTTGGGAATCAATTGTTGTTTTATTTTTCAAATTTTTCTCAAGCTCTTTCCATTTTAAGAAATTTTTCATATGTGCTCTACTAATCTCATGCCTATGCAAGGCTTTAGATACATTTAGCCAATCATTATAGCCTTTTACGAGGCTACTACTGTCAACCGATGCAAATATCTTGCAACAGAAGCAAAAAAACAGAATTTGTACTTATAGAATATAATAGCCATGTACGGGGAACTAATTCTCCGTTTTCCATTTTTCTGTTATAATATGTATCACTAAATTTACGTCCATTATTACTTTTCGGATACATTAAACCTTTCCTTTGAATAGGCCCCATTTCAGACAAAGTCATTCTCACTTTGTCGCTAAGAGTTGGAGTTGGCCACTTTGCAGGATCATCAAAATCAATATAAAGAAAGGAATTTTCATTTATGCCAGTCTCTTCCATCGAATTACCTGGATAATCTCTAACTTCCGATTTATTTAATTCCATGCTTGGATCATCTTTCCCTTCCTTTGGAGTTTCATCAGTCCTTTCAATAACTTCATCCAATGCAGCTGATGTTCTTTGGCTGGATGATGTCTGTTCTTTTGTAATTGATTCTGATGCTGATTCAGTGTGAGCATCATTTACGCCCGAAGAAGTCTTCATCTTCTTTATGAAATGAGACATTGCGTCTGCCTGCTTCTGAAGAGCAGCATCTTTCTCAGCTTTGCGTTTACGATTCTGTGCACCGGATGATTTCTTCTTTGTTTCCATGTTATCAAAATTTCACACTGAAATTTAAAAATTCAATTCTAAATTTTAAATATCTAATCTTTCTTTTAAAAATAAGCCATAACATCTGCTAAATATAGAATAAAGATGAAAAGTAAAAAAAAATGAAGCTAATGAAAAAAATAAACTTTATGATAACTTTTTCGAGCGGTTGGGAAGTATTAGCATCTTTCTAACAAACGATAAGGAAAAGTTTGACCGTGTGATGGGTCAAACTTAATGCTTGCCAAGGGCTCTGTGTACAATGACCACCAAACCTCTCTCTCCAAAAACACTAGCTAAGTCTTACCTCAACCCAGTGTTTTTCAACCTTTCAGTATACGCGGCCCAATTTTCAGCCATAATTTTCATCGCCCCCCCCCCACATATTATAAAGTGTATGCAATTATAATGTATTTTGAGTATTTTTGGCGCTAAATCTTAATTACTAATTACTTACTTATTAATTAAACTACGACCTTAATTTTAAACTTAAAAATTACCAAGAATACGTAAATTTATTCATATTTGGCAACGTCGATCCTCAGCATTGACAAAACAAGAATCTGTTGCACTTTTATTGCTGTTCTGTCCACCATCTCAGATATACTCACGGTTTCAAGAGAAGTTCCTACTTGTCTCGCACATTCTGGAGTATCTGCGTGAATGTCTGTGTGTCTACATATGAAACATGCGCAGTCTCAAACCCGTCTCAAACATGCGCAGATGTCACAAAATGTTTCTCTATAGGGAGAAGGAAGGAGGAAATTCGATAGCACCAGTTTTAATTCCAGCCAGTCTCATTCGAGTCTATCCTTCTGTCGCTATCTATTCTACCGTGAATGTTTATGTTATATGTTTTCGTGTTAATTGCAATTCACCGTATTAAAAATTCACGGCGGCAGATTTATGCAGAATTATGGATAGATTTTTAAGCGGGCGTAAGCGAGCATTAGACGATAGTCAAGCATCAACAAGTACACAGACGAACGTGGTTCCGAAAATAAAATCAAGAAAATATTCTCAAGAATACTTAAATTTTGGATTTACCAGTACTAAAGTAAATGAAAAAACAAAGACCATTATGTATCATTTGCTCAAAAAATATTGGCAGCAGACAGCATGAAACCTAATAAACTTCAAAGACATTTGGAAACACTTCATAGTGAGTACGTCAACAAACCAGAGAATTTTTCAAATTAAAATTAAATCATATGAAAAGCAAAAAAAAAAACATTTTTTAAAAAAACTTTGAATGAAAAAGCATTAATTGCTTCTTACAAAGTTTCATATAAAATAGCCAGATGTAAAAAGCCTCACACCATTGGTGAAAAGCGTATTTTGCCAGCAGCAATTGAGATTGTAGAAACTATGTTTGGAGATAATTTTGCAAACCAATTGCAGTCCATACCTCTTTCAAATGATACTGTTGCCCGTCGAATTACTGATATAGCTGAAGATGTACAGTGTCAGCTTTTCTCGAAGTTGCGTGACAAATTATTTTCAATACATTTTGATGAGGCAACAGATAGTAATAAAGACGCTCATTTCATTGCCTATGTTCGATTTTGTGATGATATGTCAATAGTAGAAGAACTACTTTTCTGCAAACCAATAGAACTCAAAGCAACAGCACACGCATTATTTGCTATCTTAAATGATTTTATGAACGAAGCAAATATAGAATGGAAAAATAGCGTCGGAATATGCACCGATGGTGCTCGTTCAATGTCAGGAAGATTCCAAAGTATACAAGCACTTGTAAAAGCAAAAAATCGCCAGAGCAACTGGACACATTGCATAATCCACAGGGAAGCTCTAGCTTAAAAAAAAAAGGAAGAAAAAAAGAATCCTGGTCTGAATATTATGTTAACTACCGTTGTAACCGTAATAAATTATATAAAAATTAGACCCCTGAAATCAAGAATCTTTTCCGCACTTTGTAAAGACATGGGCGCAGCACATTCAGCGTTACTATTTTATTGTGAGGCAAGATGGTTATCACGTGGGAAATTTTTGCAACGTGTTTATGAATTAAGAGATGAAATCGCTATTTTCCTACAAGAGGAAAACAGACCGGAAGCCGAGAATTTTCGCGATGGTTTATTTGTGATGAAATTCAGCTACTTGGTCGACATATTCGAGAAATTAAATAACTTGAATCTTTACGAAGGCATTAAGAAGGCAGAATACCTTATAATGTTTAAAAACAACATATATTGGATACGAATGAGAAAGGTAATGTTTTTTGTAGAAAATTGGAATTGTGGAGCAGAAATGTAAAGCAAAACAACCTAACAATGTGTAAAAATGTGGATGATTGTATTAAAACTCACAAGGCCGAAAAACAACATGTAAAAGTGGTTTTTGTAACCATTGAAAATCATTTAGCCATGCTGACAAAGAATTTAAAAATTACTTTCTTGCTGACGACAAACTGATAGAAAGTTACGAGTGGGTTAGAGATCCATTTCAAAATACTCCCGAAGGGCTCTCGATTGCCGAGGAAGAAACCTTCACAGACTTCACGACAAGTGGAGAAACCAAAAGACAATTTAGTAATAAATCACTCTTTGAATTTTGGGCAGGAGTGAATGATGAGTTCTTTGCACTAAAAACAAGGGCATTTCGCATTTTATTACCATTTCCAACATCCTACCTTTGTGAAACTGGATTTTCTGCGGTGGCTTCATTGAAGACAAAATATAGATCTCAGCTAAATATAGAAAAAGAACTGAAAGTGTCTATTTCTAATATTAAACCTTCCTTCGAAAAACTTTGCTCTGCAAGACAGGCCCAAGGAAGTCACTAAGAATTATTAAAATTGTTTTTAATTTAATAAGTTTCGATTTAGTAATTTTTTTAAAGTTAAGAATTATGCAAAAATTTATGATACGAAGGCATGCTAAGAAGGCGGGAGAAATACCTTATAATGTTTACAAAACAAGTACTCGATTATGTACAGTTATAAGGTATGTCTCCTATTTTCCTAGGGTGCCTTCGTGGTGTAGTGGATTTGCACGCTGAGCCGGTATTCCAGAGGACCGTGGTTCGATTCCCGGCGAAGGCGGTTGCTAATTTTTCATCTCTCCGGTTTTTCCAATTAACCTAATGTATCTACACAGTCTTGTGGCTATCGAATTATAACTCTAATACCAGACAATAATAGAATTAACAGGAACATGTTTGAAATGCTTTTCGGTGTTACATTAAAATCTTCATTTGAAAACCGAACAATGCATAATCTTCCTATATTTATATTGTTTGATACAGTCTGGAATTTACCTTAAGGAAAATTTCAGACAGGTAAGCTTGAGGTCAATTTCGACAAATGAGTGGCTGTAATTATCACGTATCTTTACAGCAGATTATAGAGTCGGAAAGAAAAAAATTAGTTAGTTTGCTTAAAATGCAGTCTTCTGAGAAAGGCTTATCAGGGCTTGTGTTTCTTTTCATGTGTTTCGCAAACATAGTGAGTCCTGACTGGACTGGGAGGTTGACTACAACCAATGTCTTTACGAAGTGTAGAACAGAAGACAAGATGAGAAGGGTTAAATTTCCCTTTATTAACTACTGAACACAGGTGCTTCCACGCTTTGGGATACAGAGACCAACTACTTGTGGTCTGAACGTAAAAATATAAACTATGAGCTAAAATAAAAATAAGAGCTAACTCTGAATAACTCACAGAGATATTTACGATTAAGAATGGCCTTTAAATGTGCGACGTATGTAGTACGCAAACTGCCGAAACTACAATAGGTTTAAATTACAAGAGGGCTATAGACTCTGGCTCTATAGGCAAACAGCAGTAAATTGAAACACGCGTGCAACAAGGTGGTGGCCGACAAACTTGCCTTCTCTCTCTCTTTCTTTCGCTACCTCTATATCGTTGGCAAAAAGCCACAACTTAAATACTTGGGCGTTAGCAAGTACAATTTGCATAACCAAATTAACGCGTTTATTTCTGGCCGGAAGTGGAAAATAAGAAAGGACAGTAAACACAGTAAAGTTTTTAAAATAAAATAAACGTTAGTGAACGTAAGAACCTTACAGGCTCACTTATTTTATAACTTTTTCCTCGTAATGATATTGAAGACTTTAATCATGATCATCTTATTGATGATGAATTTATTGATGTTTTACATCAATCATATGATGTTAATATTACAGAAAAAGATATAGTGTGTCTAATTTACATTTATATATGGATATGTTTGTAGATCTGTATTGAAGCATTGGAATTGTAATCTCTGTAGGAAAAAACGGTACTATTCGGTTTCGAGGGCCGTAAAAAATCGCCAAACTATTGTTGATGCCAATGCTGCCAAAAATAATAGCGGCAACCCTAATCTAATAATTGCGGCAAGAAAGGAAGTATAATAGTAAATAACTCGCTAAGATTGCTGCTTTAATTTAGATGAAAGGTTAATTTCACATAATACATTTTTATTATTATAATTTATATGAAAAAGGCTAAACATGACTGAATGGAAGCATAAAAGTCAATAACTATTTCAAATCATTATTCTAATTTATATAAAAATTTCTAAACATAACTGAATGGATGCCTACATCGCTATTTCGCTACCGACTTATCGCTAAAGCATAATTTCATCTCGTAGGTAGTTCAAATGTAATTTTCTATAATGAATGACGCCTTTTCTTGGAAAATATTCTCGGTAAAGTGCAGAATCGCTCACTTATTTGTTTGCCGCTTTTTACAAGGGTAAAAACAATTGGATTTTTGTCAATTTTCTTTTACTTTTCAAGTGAAAATAGATCGATGTGTACAAAGATAAAGTCAAGGTGTGCGCAGTGCCATTTTTGTGCAATTATAGGATTTTTTTTAAAGTGAAAATAGGTCGATGTGCACATGGATACCGAGTACATGCAATTCTTAAAAACCCGTCAAGCAGTGGGTGATTCTGCACTTTACCCAAAATTCTATTGCCGACTTTTCGTCATGGGCAATTCCCAAATTGTTAAATCCATAGGATATT